AGGAGAGAAAAGAACTACAAAGCAGCGCACGGCGGCCCCGCCAGACTTCCACCGCCGCCTGATCCCTCCCAAGTCGAGGCGCTGCCCTCCAAACTCCGCAAAATCATGTCTTTCACCTCCGCCTCTAATCAAGGTTCACTGCCCTGAGTCCCCTCCCTCTTTTCACTTGCTATTCTGTTATTAGCTCGTCATCAATCGTAAGGTTTGTTATATGATTCTTAGGTTCTATGAAGATTTCGAAGGAGAACGGAAAGAAGAGGAAAAGAACAGATCCTGATTCTGAGAAAGTGAGAGCTTATTTTATTTCGTTTCCTTCTGTTAAGAAATCTCGAATTTAGCTGAGTATTCTGATTGATGAGTGATTTATACAGAGACGCCGCACAGATAGAGGAATTAAGGTAGAAGCCAAAGAATTGGAAGATGACGGCGATAATGGAGTTCCGGCACCATCTCAACAGACGGATAGTGAGGTGGAAATCGAGCAGAGCAGTGAAAGTGAAAAGAGGAAGAAGAAGAAGAAAAGCAAGAGGAAGCAGGTAACTGACCTTAGGTTTCAAGAGGAAATATTGGGAACCGGTTCTAAAAGACGGGAGCGCAAGAAGAAGTAAGCAGTTTTTTTCTCTGTTTTTTGGTTGGTTTATTCATTTCCTTTGAAATTTATAAATGGGTAGAAGATGAAAATATGAATCCTAATTTAGAACAAACAAGTATTCTTTCGATGCATTGTGGCAAAATTGCTTTTGTTTACAATGAGAAGCCATTAGAATTCACTATTGTGGAAAACCAATGAATGAATTTCAAGAACAATAAAGGTATTGAATTACCCCTGAGACATTAGTTGCAATTAATCATGCTCCATGGCAACTGCCTTAGAGATAAATCCTCTCATTATCAGCAATCTGATTAAATTTTTTGGGAAAATTTGCAATGTTTCTTTAGCTAGAATATGCTGGTTTATGGTTTCTCCTTTTTCAGATATAACAGATATGTGTTTGATTTATGAAGGTATCTTGAAGCAAAGAAGAAAAAGCATAAGAAAGCTAAAACAGAGGA